GTACTCTACTACACTACAGCTCAGAGGTACTCTTAACGACACTACAGCTCAGAGGTACTACTACACCACCTACAGCTCAGAGGTCTCTACTACTCTACAGCTCAGATGTATCTACTACTCTACAGCTCAGAGGTACTCTACTACACTACAGCTCAGAGGTACTCTACTACACTACAGCTCAGAGGTACTCTACTACACTACAGCTCAGAGGTACTCTACTACTCTACAGCTCAGAGGTACTCTACTACACTACAGCTCAGAGGTACTCTACTACTCTACAGCTCAGAGGTACTCTACTACACTACAGCTCAGAGGTACTCTACAGCTCAGAGGTACTCTACTACTCTACAGCTCAGAGGTACTCTACTACACTACAGCTCAGAGGTACTCTACTACACTACAGCTCAGAGGTACTCTACTACTCTACAACTCAGAGGTACTCTACTACTCTACAGCTTAGAGGTGCTCTACTACTCTACAGCCCCGAATCCCTATCTGTACCTTGTGCTAACATGTATCCTTTTTTCTGATTTTGTCCACATTCTGATTGTGTCCACATTTTTAGACCGGTGTAAACGATTAAAAGACGCATTGTGATCTGATTGTGATCAGATCTTACTGACCACCTCCGGAGGTAGTCAGGGACACATTGTATCTGGATATAAATAAAATGTAAACAGATACGGATGGTCAAAACATTTAAATAATCATTGTAGCAGCCTCTAAAATCATTGACAGGTAGGATCATTGACTTATGGAATAAATAATTGTCTTAAAAGAAATAAATGCGTATTATTTTTGAAAGAATATCTGTCAATATGGTCACAATGCGGACACAGTGGATTGGAGACACATTTTAATACCATTTGTAGATGCGGAAAAACCATGATCAGATAGTATCAAAAGTATCCTGAAAGAAGAATCTCAGCTAAAGCTCAACACATACATACACACACACACACACACACACACACACACACACACACACACACACAAATAAAACAATAACAAATATATATACAGTGGGGAAAAAAAGTATTTAGTCAGCCACCAATTGTGCATGTTCTCCCACTTAAAAAGATGAGAGAGGCCTGTAATTTTCATCATAGGTATACGTCAACTATGACAGACAAATGAGAAGGAAAAAAACGGGAAATCACATTGTAGGATTTTTAATGAATTTATTTGCAAATTATGGTGGTAAATAAGTATTTGGTCAATAACAAAAGTTTCTCAATACTTTGTTATATACCCTTTGTTGGCAATGACACAGGTCAAACGTTTTCTGTAAGTCTTCAAGGTTTTCACACAGATCTTGCTTGTTTGTTGGTGACCAAATAATTTGCAAATAAATTCATTAAAAATCCTACAATGTGATTTTCTGGATATTTTTTTCTCAATTTGTCTGTCATAGTTGACGTGTACCTATGATGAAAATTACAGGCCTCATCTTTTTAAGTGGGAGCACTTGCACAATTGGTGGCTGACTAAATACTTTTTTCCCCCACTGTATATACACTGAGTGTACAAAACATTAAGAACACCTGCTCTTTCCATGACATAGACTGACCAGGTGAATTCAGGTGAAATCTATGATTCCTTATTGATGTCACTTGTTAAATCCATTTCAATCAGTGTCAATAATAAATGTGTCCTGAAAGTGATCGGTGTATTGATGAACTCGTCTTAACTCTCCCCTGGCATTCTCGTCAGCAACATGAGACAACAGAGAGACCTCCAAGCCAGTAGACTTCGAACCCTAACCATCTAAGCCAGTCACTGTTCCAGATTGTGAGACGGTTCCAGTGTATCTTTAAGGTTAGGGAGGTACTTAATGATCAGAGGATAGCTGTGATAATATACAGAATACTACAAGACAAAATAGCTGATCTTGGACTACAGGAAAAGGAGGGCCGAATTGGCCCCCTTTAACATTGACGGGGCTGTAGTGGAGCGGGTTGAGAGTTTCAAGTTCCTTGGTGTCCACATCACCAACAAACTATTATGGTCCAAACACACCAAGACAGTTGTGAAGAGGGCACGACAAAGACTATTCCCCCTCAGGAGACTGAAAAGATGTGGCATGGGTCCTCAGATCCTCAAAAAGTTATACAGCTGCACCATCGAGCATCCTGACCGGTTGCGTCACCGCCTGGTATGGCAACTGCTCGGCATCCGACCGTAAGGCGCTACAGAGGGTATGCGTACGGCCCAGTACATCACTGGGGCCAAGCTTCCTGCCATCCAGGACTTATGTACTAGGCGGTGTCAGAGGAAGGCCCAAAAAATTATCAAAGACTCCAGCCACCCAAGTCATAGACTGCAAGCGGTACCGGAGCGCCAAGTCTATGTCCAAAAGGCTCCATAACAGCTTCTACCCCCAAGCCATAAGACTGCTGAACAAATAATCAAATGGCCACATGGTCTATTTACATTGACCCCCCCTTCCCCTTTGTTTTTACCCTGCTGCTACTCGCTGTTAATTATCTATGCATAGTCACTTTACCCCTACCTACATGTACAAATTACGTCGACTAACCTGTACCCCTGCACATTGACTCGGTACCGGTACCCCCTGTATATAGCCTCATTATTACCTGGACTAACCTGTACCCCCGCACATTGACTCGGTACCGGTACCCCCTGTATATAGCCTCATTATTACCTGGACTAACCTGTACCCCCGCACATTGACTCGGTACCCCCTGTATACCCGCACATTGACCCGGGAACCAGTACCCCCTGTATATAGCCTCATTATTACCTGGACTAACCTGTACCCCGCACCTTGACTCGGTACCCCCTGTATACCCGCACATTGACCCGGTACCGGTACCCCCTGTATATAGCCTCATTATTACCTGGACTAACCTGTTCCCCAGCCCATTGACTCGGTACCGGTACCCCCTGTATATAGCCTCATTATTACCTCGAATAACCTGTACCCCCGCACATTGACTCGGTACCGGTACCCCCTGTATATAGCCTCATTATTACCTGGACTAACCTGTACCCCCGCACATTGACTCAGTACCCCCTGTATACCCGCCCATTGACTCGGTACCGGTACCCCCTGTATATAGCCTCATTATTACCTGGACTAACCTGAAGCACCGCACATTAACTCGGTACCGGCACCCCCTGAATATAGCCTCGTTATTACCTGGACTAACCTGTTCCCCAGCACATTGACTCGGTACCGGTACCTCCTGTATATAGCCCCATTATTACCTGGACTAACCTGTTCCCCCGCACATTGACTCTGTACCGGCACCCCCTGTATATAGCCTCATTATTACCTCCACTAACCTGTACACCCGCATATTGACTCGGTACCGGTATCCCCTGTATATAGCCTCGTTATTACCTCGACTAACCTGTACCCCCACACATTGACTCGGTACCGGTACCCCCTGTATATAGCCTCATTATTACCTGGACTAACCTGTACCCCCACACATTGACTCGGTACCGGTACCCCCTGTATATAGCCTCATTATTACCTCGACTAACCTGTACCCCAGCCCATTGACTCGGTACCGGTACCCCCTGTATATAGCCTCATTATTACCTCGACTAACCTGTACCCCCACACATTGACTCGGTACCGGTACCCCCTGTATATAGCCCCATTATTACCTCGAATAACCTGTACCCCCGCACATTGACTCGGTACCGGTACCCCCTGTATATAGCCTCGTTATTACCTTGACTAACCTGTTCCCCCACACATTGACTCGGTACTGGTACCCCCTGTATATAGCCTCGTTATTGTTATTTTATTGTGTTACTTTTTATTTTATTTTCTACTTTAGTTTATTTAGTAAATATTTTCTTAACTCTATTTCTTGAACTGCATTGTTGGTTAAGGGCTTGTAAGTAAGCATTTCACGGTAAGGTTGTATTCGGCGCATTTGACAAATAAAATGGTATTTGTATCTATCTATCTCTCTATCTCGCCTGGGGAACTGTCAGGTCTTCATTCTTCATGTTTTTCCGTTTCAGATGTTCTTCTGTTGAGTATTCAATCAAACTGTTAATATTCTAACAGAGGGATTCACATCCTGGGACTGTTAAGACACAATACCACAACATGTTCTTGTATATTTTGCTGTATATGTGTGTGTGTGTGTGTGTATTTATTGATTGATTGATTGATTGATTGATTGATTGATTGATTGATTGATTGAGCCACCCACTACACAGGAACAAGTGGGAAGGAACATGTATCAATTGTTTTTATTGAACACAGGTATTTTAGAGAGTATGGTTTTAACATACAGTATATGTAATTCAAAGCCTACAAGAAAAGTTGTTATTTAAATATTTATATATATATCTATACAAATGTTTATGAAGGGTCAAAGAGCTTGTGTCGTAAATGTAGTTCTGGGGAGTGTACAAAGGTAGACATGCACAACAAAATGTTTCTATGGCAACTGAATAGTCCCCATTACAAAATGGCAGAGTCTCAGAAATCTGGACTCACACACACACACACTGGCACGCAGAGGCACACACACAAGCACATAGTGAACCCAGTCTCACACTCTCACCAACATATTGAACCCAGTCTCACACTCTCACCAACACATTGAACCCAGTCTCACACTCTCACCAACATATTGAACCCAGTCTCACACTCTCACCAACATATTGAACCCAGTCTCACACTCTCACCAACATATTGAACCCAGTCTCACACTCTCACCAACACAGTGAACCCAGACCCCAGTCTCTTGGTTCTAAAATGGTAAACATAATAATGGCATTAATTGTACTGTTCTGGAGGGAGAACGGACTGTGTGTGTGCGTGCATGTGCATGTGTACCCTGCTCCTCTCCCGTTCACTCCCAGATGGCGCTGACCCGAAGTCCCTGTCTCTACTTCCTGTTGTTCAGAATAAATAAACGTCTCTGTCCGTCTCCACAGAGATTAGCTCCTCCTCCCAGGGATCAAACCCTGACACACACACTCGCTTGCACAGCACAGAGAAAGGGCTACTCTGTCTTTTCAGCTTTTCCGTCTTTATTGAGCAGCTCGCTGGTTTTCCGGACAGTTCCAGTCTTTTCCGTCTCCTGACCAGAGGTTTTCCCAGGGTTCCCGGCGGCAGAATGTTTATCCAGGAAGTTGAGCATCTCACTAAGAACGGTCTGGAAGGTGCTGAGAGCCGCGCACACTGCCGGAGTCCCGAAGCCATGGGTGATCAGACTGGAGAGCACAAAATACATAAAGACATAAATATACACAATATATACATTATCTACACTGTATATATACTATATACACTATGTATACACTATGTATACACTATATATACACTATATATACACTATATATAAACTATATACACTATATATACACTATGTATACACTATGTATACACTATATATACACTATATAGACACAATAAAGACATTACATGTACACATTATACACTATATACACTATAGAGACACTATGTAAACACTATTTATACACTATATTCAATATATAGACACCATACAGACACAATATATATGATTTAGAGACTATACAGACACTATATATACACTAAATAGACCAAAATATATACATTACATTTACACTATTACACATTTACACTAAATGTACACTACATATACACGGTAGAGACAAAAATGTATGCACTCACTAACTGTAAGTCGCTCTGGATAAGAGTGTCTGCTACATGACCAAAATGTAAAATATGCACTATATATACACTATATAGACACTATATATACACTATATAGACACTATATATACACTATATAGACACTATATATACACTATATAGACACTATATAGACACTATATATACACTATATAGACACAATAAAAACGATATATACACTATATAAACTATATAGACACTACATAGACACAATAAAAACGATATATACACTATATAAACTATATATACACTATATACACTATATACACTATATAGACACAATAAAAACGATATATACACTATATAAACTATATATACACTATATACACTATATACACTATATAGACACAATAAAAACAATATATACACTATATAAACTATATATACACTATATACACTCTATACACTATATAGACACAATAAAAACAATATATACACTATATAAACTATGATTACACTATATATATACACTATATAAACTATGTTTACACTATATATACACTATATAAACTATGTTTACACTATATATACAATATATATACACGTTATTTACACACTATATATACACACTATATAGACACACTATATACATTTACATTTTAGTCATTTAGCAGACGCTCTTATCCAGAGTGACTTACAGTTAGTGAATACAAATGTTTTCATACTGGGCCCCCGTGGGAATCGAACCCACAACCCTGGCGTTGCAAACGCCATGCTCTATCAACTGAGCTACATCCCTGCCGGCCATTCCCTCCCCTACCCTGGACAACACTGGGCCAATTGTGCGCCGCCCATGAGTCTCCCGGTCGCGGCCGGCTGCGACAGAGCCTGGATTCGAACCAGGATCTCTAGTGGCACAGTTAGCACTACGATGCAGTGCCTTAGACCACTGCGCCACTCAGGAGTACACCATATATACACTATATATATACACTATATATACACCATATATACACACTATATATACACCATATATACACACTATATAGACACCATATATACACACTATATATACACTATATTTACACTATATATACACTATATATACACTATATTTACACTATATATACACTATATTTACACTATATATACACTATTGAGACACTATATAGACACTGTATAGACACCATATATGCACTATATAGAAAGTATATACTCTATATATGCACTATACAAACACAATAGACACTAAATATTCACTATATATACTATATAAAAACTATATAGACAATATATACATATATATACATATTATATACACTATATACACTATATAAACACTATATAGACCCCCCCCCCCTGTATATATAGCCTCCCTACTGTTATTTTATTTTACTTCTGCTCTTTTTTTTCTCAACACTTTTTTTGTTGTTGTTTTATTTTTACTTTTTTTGTTAAAAAATAAATGCACTGTTGGTTAAGGGCTGTAAGTAAGCATTTCACTGTAATGTCTGCACCTGTTGTATTTGGCGCATGTGACCAATAAAATTTGATTTGATTTGATTTGATTTGATTTGAATAGACACTATATACACACTATATAACACTATATACACACTATATAAACACTATATACACACTATATACACACTATATACA